TCGGGTAACATCTCCCGTTCTTTGAAACCTCTGCCACAGTCTTGAGATCACAGACTGGTCCACATTCAGAATTCGAGACACTTCGTTTTGTGATCGTGAGGATTCCAGCATTCCAATGATTCTTCCTTTCGTAGATATGTCCGATTGGCGTCTTTGGGTCATCATTCACCTTGTTTGATGGTTAACAACGTTCCTTCGCACATCAGTTGCACGAAACTTGTCTGAACTGCCTATGCTGCGTGAATCGGTTTCTCCGCGTTCCGACATGCGCCGGTGTTTCGGGCAGGACGTAGTCGACTGAAAGGTTTTGCATACACCCAATGTTTCTTCTTCACCCAATTAATATCCGCAAGAAATTTGGAAAAATTTTACGAATATTTACTCCATGTTTTTTGCATTTTACGATTTGGGCTTAACTTTTGGACACCAGTGTAGATCTACTCTTGAGGCCATCAAGGAAGGAAAAATGGGACTCACCCAAGAAATCAATTCTCTTTTTTTTATTGATACATTGGGCAAATCATGCACCCTCCAGTGGATCCCGGCCCATGTTGACATCGAAGGGAACGAGACGGCCGATTCCCTTGCCAATGAAGCCAGAACACTTGAGCTTCTAACTTCATCTACTATGGTCTTTGATGCCAACGCAGTCGCAAAACAATAGATCTGTTCAAATCCAAGAAAAAAATTCTCGCTGCCAGCGTTAAATTATAGACAAGAAATTATACGACAACAACAACTAGATTAAGGACAATGGATCCCAAACACCTTTTTAACAACTGTCCTTCCTTTGTTGGTGCCTTTTTAAAAATAGACAATAACTTCAGCATGGACATTCTGTACTCGGATCGTGCCATGGATGTTACCACGGCAGTGATTAACGTCTTTGGCAATATTTGACTATATCTTTATGTTTTGTTATTACCACCTTTGCACTTTGTCATATACGACAGCAACAACAACAGAAATGAGTGATAAATACAAGTTGCAACTTAATTCACGAGAAAACATTTACCTTTAAATCCAGATTTAATGTGCTCTAAATTAAATCTAAATGAATTTTTTTTTTCTCTAGAAGAGGAGTTGTAATTAATTTTTTTTCTTGTGTGCGGTATAAATCTCAATGTTAAACTCTTCTATTCTCTCCTCGAATGCATTTACAAATTGTTTTATAGATAAAAAGAGAAGATATACAGTGGAAATCATTTAACACGAAACTGAGGGGCTGAAATATTTTTTCGTGTTAAAAGAACATTGCAAAAAACTCCCACATATTCAACAAAATTAAGAAAATTAGAGTACATTTTATTTATATATATATGTATATTTGCAGGCATTTAATAAAAATCAATGAAACAAAAATATTCACAAAAACTACATAAAATTCAGAATATTCAGAAATTTTCAGAAAAACAAAACATTTATTTAGTTTTTGGAAAACACTCTGATTTTTTTCTTTCCATTATCGTTTTAAGCATCTTATTGTCAACAAATTGTTCGATATCGTCCATTTTTTTATTCATTTCACCATTATAATGTGTGTCTTAATAACTGAGCATAATTTTCATGAAGTTCCTCATTTCGGGTGACGTAGGAACAGGAGCTGCATTATTCATTTCATTTTCGTCGTCGGAATCTGTATCAATGATATTTTTGAGCTTTGTGGCGTTTCCAAAGGTGGAGGGTGAAAGTAGCTAAAATAAACAAAATTGGCTCGTCTCACATGCTATTTCTGAGAGTATTTACAAGCCAAATTAGCTTTCTATCTACGAAACATGTCAAACCACCTCTCTTTCATTTCCCACCCTTTTTAAATCTCGCCTTAGCGGCTAGTGTTTTCCGTATTTTATTCATTCCCAGAAAAAAAATCGTGTTAAGTGATTTTTGTTTCGAGGTAAAAGAAGAAATGTGCATGAAAGTACATAGTAGTTTGTAAGAATCTTGGTATTATTTTTTGCTAACCGATATTTCGTCTTAAGCGTTTTCACGTTAAGCATATTTTACCATAATTCATTTTTCTTAACCAATTTGTGTAAATAATTTATGGTAATAAACGTACGCTGGCTTATAATTAACAGAAGACTTATAATTAACAGAACAGAAAAAAAACCCGTACAAAAAAGCAATAAAAACAAATACGAGCCTCACAAGCTAGACAAAAAACATCACATTTATCACATGCTAATTTTATTTGCATATTAATTCTCATCTCATTTTATTTATTTCTTTTTTAAGATTAAATCGATATTTTTTTTTCAATCTGATTCACTATTTTCAGTATTATTTAGTCAAAAACTGTGTCCTTTAGTAGATTTAAAAAATGTGTCCTTTAGTAGATTTAAAAAATGTGTCCTTTAGTAGATTTATAGGAATAATTGAGTTCCAATAACGCTTTAAAAGAATTTAAGAATTTGAACAGTAATGTTTTATAAGATTGCGACACAGAAGTGATGGGGAAAAAACACTGAATGAGAGAGAGAGAGAGAGGGAGAGAGAGAGTCTAACAAATAATCGAAACCATTGAAGTCAATACACTTTAGTATCGGTCAAGGGTCGGTTGAGAGTGGGAGAGAAATGTTCTCTTTTTTTTTTTCTGCAGAAAACTATATCGTACATTACAAATATTGTAACTTATCGTATTATTTTTATTCTTCAGAATGTTACTTACGCGTGATGATTCTTTGATTTTTTCCCATTAATTTCTGGTTTCTGTTTAGGGGTTAAAGTAATGAAACATGTAGAAAAACTTGAAAAATTTATCTTTAAATACATAGAACATAGAGAAAGAAATATGAAGAAAATTAAATCAATTTCTTTTTTATCGTAAATTTTCTTTTGGGAATGTAATACTTAACATGCATTATTTAACTGGAAATATGTTATTTTTAAATCGGAAAAACCTTTTGGGAGAAATGCATTACGTATTTGTAGTATTTGTAATTAAACGTGTTTTCCATTCACTTTAAATCCTGTATTAAAATTTAGTTTATATGATCTTTTTTTTATTTTAATTTTCCTCAGCACCTATCTTCATTTAAATATTTATCATATGATTAAATATTTTTAGCAGTTAAATAAATTTATTTAATTAGGGCTATTTTATTAAAAGGGAGACTATTTAAAGCTGATTAAATTATAAAAGTCAAGAGTTGAGTTTAGATACATAAAATTCACACCAGAAATGAAGGGGAGGAGGTAAGGGATCAATTGATTTTACATAAATTTTCAAAATACATCAGTATTATTTATAGAATATATTTAGTGAATTAGGAATTGTAATTTCAAAAAATTTTTTTAACTTTCTTTCGAAGAAAATAAAATATATTAAGAGGATCAGATCAATTAATGTAGAAAGTCATACGAGTAAAAATAACTAAAATAATAATTTGTAATAAAAACGACGTAAAAAATGTCTTGCGATATAGCAAAATGAAAGATAAAATAAATTTTTTTAAAAGAGGAATTTAAAAATTTACTTTATGATACTATAGATAAGATTTTAAATATTTTTCTCAAGCTAGAGCGTTGAAAATAACTGAAGATCTGTCCAAAACACAAATGAAATTAATAAGTTATTATGATAAGATTACTAACATTTAATGTATTACCACTGTCATATTAAATGCACTTTTAACTCACGTATGACACTAATAAAAGTTATCCTTGTTATTGTCCGATTCTCGAAGAATGTTCTTATTTACGTAAAGAATAAAGGGTATTGAGCAAGAATTCTCTGTCACTGCTTTAATCATTTTCACACAATAGGAGACCATCCGTTGCCCTAAAATGTGTGTAATAGTTCAAGGTTAATTTTGAAATAGTAATTAAAAATTTTAGAGATTTACGATTCTTTTTTGATGTTTGGATTTCGTGCCTTTAATACTTAATGAACTTCAAAAAATTACATAACATTTTATTACCTTTCACAAAAATGCATTATTTTAATAATTGAACATATTCAAATATATACTCCAATAAATTATTTAACTTAAATATATCACAACTAATCTTTGACAGTGAGCAAAAGTTTTAAAGGTATGAATTTGAAGGAACAAAAACACTATTTTCCTTGGAAAGTCTAAATAAAGAAGTAAATCCTCCAGGGCTTCCATTTGGGCACAAATGGAAAAAAAATTATTACGCATTTCATCTCTGTTTTCTTCTTAAGGATATCATCAATACAGCTTCTTTACAAAATGTCAATATAGCAGCTCTGCAGACATCAGATGATCATGTGATAAATGAAACATTTTCTGTTTAAATTATCGAATAAAAATTTTGTTTTTCCAAATAAATAAATAGATAAATTTATTAATCAGATAACATTTCTTTCATCGTCACAATTAATTTCCAATTTATCACGCATTTTAATCAAGAACCTTGCTCTCATGTGTAATATATTTCAAATAATAACCAGATATATTTTTCAATTTCTACTATTTTCAACTTGGCTTTGTTTTTTCTATTATGTCGAAAATTTCTGTTGTACGGGGAAGGGGGATCCATAAAGCATTGCTTAAACCTAATTTCTCTGGTCCTAGTTCAGCGACAGCTTTAGAAATCATAATAGGTCTCCATTTTAGTCCATAGACTCTTTTGGTTTCTTCCACTTTGAAAGTTCTACCTCTGTTTCCTGTTATGCATATTTTGATCCAAATCTAGTACAATATTCATTTTCTCCATTTATTTTCTAGTTATGTTTCTTAGAATCTGGTCTCTATCTTTTAGCTCTGTGGGTAGTACAATTTTGTTTTATTATTTTATTTCATTTTATTATACTATGTATAAAAATCTTGCTCAAATTTTAATCGTTAATAAAATACTTTCTATTTATCCATTCGAGTTCAAATAGATTTTTTGAAACTTATAATGGATGACATTTGATGTTAATACAGCTTTTTCAAATATTTATCCATTAATTAAATTTAAAAAATGTATAAATGGTAACAAACAAAAATAATAGTCCAGCAGCATATATAGAAAGGAAAATTGTTCATTGTGTCCCTGTAGCGCAATAGATAGCGCGTTGGACTTCTACTCCAAAGGTCGTAGCTTTGAATCCTACCTGAAATGGCCAAATTTCTGAGAATGTGTGTGTGATTTCTTTTCTACTATCAGAATAAGTAAATTTAACGCATGAATAATTAGCAACAAACAAAAAATAGTCCAACACCCTATATAGAAAGGAAAATCGCTTTTTATTTTGTCACTTGATATTGTGATTCTGTCATATGCATATACATATTTATATTAATTGCAACGATTTAATAAAAAGTAACTAAAATAAAATGTTTCTTTGTTGATCGAAGTAGGAATTGACTTAAATTTTTGTTTATATTACTTGTTCTTAAGGTCTCTAGGACTAGGTCCGGAACCGTGATTTTGCAAAAGCGTATAAATGAATAATTTTTTTGATCCCTAGTGTTACCCGATTTAAAACATACACATAAAACTTTTTAAGAATATTATTACAATAAAGAATTATTTAATCGCAATCTTTTGTCAAATAACAGGAGAAAAAAATGACATATTTTCAAAGCATTCTCCTTTTATGGAAAATGCTTCTATAATAACAATATTTTGCTTTTCTATAACTAAGATTTCTGTACTGAGAGCCTGAACTACGTTTTTCGAAATATATAGTTTAGAAGTAGATGTTTTGAGATATCAGAGTAGAAAAAATTTTGACAAAAAAAATATTTTCATTTGATTGTAACTCCGAAACCATGTGAATTTTTCAAAAATCATAATTCCGGCTCTGTACAGAATTTTTTAGCTATGTACAGGCAAAGTATTGTTGTTATAAAATTATTTTCTATAAAAGAAGAATGTTTTGAAAATATGTCATTTTTTCTTAATTTTTCTGCCAAAAACGAAAATGATTTTTTACTATAACAATATTCTTAAAATAATTCTGTATATATTTTAATTCAGGTGACACTAAATATTTAAAAAAAATTATCCATTTATACGCTTTTGAAAAAAATCACGCTTCCAAAGTGTCGTCCTTCAGTAACCAACAGGTACATTTATTTGTACTACTAGCCATATTTCAGCAAACGAAAAATTTATCTAAATCGTCTTGGGAGTGGATGGGGGAAAGGGGGGGGGGTACAAGTTTCAGCCAATATTTTGATAGAATTAAACCAAAACGATAAGTCACCCAAATCTTAGTGAAGTATACGATTTTAATATCGAAAGCTTACTGACGTCGGCTATGATCAACCAATCATCCATCTATCCAGGTTTGCCACCCTCCTCCCGTCCGTGAGAGTTCCCCACCCCCAGACTCGATTGCGATTCAGCAGCCGTAAGACAGGCGAAGGTGCAAAAATCGCGGACCACTTTTCAGTAAGCGCTCAGTCGTACATAACACCAGCTCCGCGGCCGGACGTATCTCAGATGACTTCTACATGAACTTCGGGATTAAACGTGTGGACATGGATGTCCAGCCATGCGATTGACTGTTTTCACTGGATGCACGCAGTTTGCCACATGGGCGCTAAGAAGTGAGTTTGATTGGTGGAAATGTCATTTATTTCATTCAAGTGTCATTTTAAAGAGTTTTGATTATTCGGCATATTTTGACGTTTTTGATTTTTTTAATGAGTGATGGATTTTTTAAAAATTATTATTTATTTCGAATGGATTTTTAGTTGAGAATGCGAGATTTTTCTCCCTATTTATATGATACTGGCTTGTTTTCAGTTTGGATTGTGATTGATAGGTTATGGTTTAAAATAATGCCCTATTGTTTGCTTTATTCGTTCGTAGTCTGTAACATTTTTGTAATTTTTTTTTTAAAAGTAAAGGTAGCTTTGATATTTTGATATTTCTTTCATACTTTTTTTCATAAATTAACTTTAATTTGTATTTTTACAATAAAAATATATTCACAATTTTGGATAAAAACGTTTAATTATTTGTATACGTTATTTAGAAGTATATGTTATTTGGACAAAAGCGTAATGCGAGCATGAATTTTGACAGGAACTGGTTGATTTAAATTGTTTTTTTAATCTTATAATACCTATTTTTGTAAAAGAAATTATTGTATTTGCATTATATTCTATTAAATAATTTTTTCCGCCAATATTTAAGGATAGTTCTTATACGTTATTTATTTCTGAAAGGTCATATAGAAATTGGCTTAAGTTCTGAAAACATACTTTGTAAATATGTAAAAGAATTTTTTATTAAATTCCCCCCCCCACCCTAAAATCTTAGAAAACGTCCATTTATTGAATTTTTATGATTTCCTCTTAACGTAAATTGATTTAAAAGGACAGAATGTATATAAAGATGCGTCGTACATTAAATAAATAAATTTTATGTATTTTTTTCAATGATATACGATTTATAGCACTGTCTCAGTAAAACGTCACAAATTTTACTTTTGTTTGTTTCTAGTGTTACTTACGATTTACACCTTTAATATTTTGCTTTGACATTTTTTAAAAAGTAATCACAATTGCATTTCCGTGTATATAGGTAACGTAACTAAATTATTTGAACAGAAACTTTTTGCTCAAAATTCACATTAAGCATTTTACTCTTGAGTTACAGAAAGTGTACTGAAGTTGTCACGGAAAATCTAAATTTTTTTAGTAATTTTTGAAACAAAAAATGCAGTTTGTTTCTAATGTTATTAATATAAATTACACTATAGTACTTTTGGCAGGGCGTGTATGCAAATTTTCTTAAAATATTAATTAACTCAAAATATTAGTCATTTTTTGTTTCCCTTATTTTTTTTATATTATTAAGTGCAATTTGGTAAGGTAAACTCGATTGAAAAAACAATGTGAAAGTTTTATACTGAGACATTTATTACAAACAATTACAATCATTTGCAATTCTAACTCTGCCTTAAAATTCATTTTTCTGGTGTATTTTTTTTTATATGCCCTGTGAGAATATGCCTGTTTGAATTCTTTTTGAAAAATAACGGTTAACTGCAAACTGTTTAAATCTTTATTTTGAAAGTTTGTAAAATAAGTTTTAAATTTTCGAATTTCAGATATCTGTTGGATTTGTTTTTAATATAAACATTTCGCTTTTGTTAATAGAAAACGACTTGATACAGATAAAAATTTCTAAATTTCAGAGGAATTTTAACGCGCAAATTAATAACGCGAAATAACAATTAATTATTTAACGTGAAAAATTAATACGCGCGATTCGTATGATGTTAACCCTGCGACACCAAAGATGCCACTTATTGACGTAGATAAATATTTTTACTTAACACATTAAATAAAGAAAGTATTTATTCCGTATTTCCATCCAAATAATGTCAGTTAAGCGTAGATATTTACGATAAGTTGAACACAAAACGCTTATAAAGTATTTTCATTAATAAATTTAAGTAAAGCGGAAATAGTATTTTTTAAAAAATAATGATTTATCAAACAGTGATATAAAATACAAAATTTTCTCTACACGCTTCGCTAGAGTTGAAATAATTCGAGACGTTAGTAATTCGACCAGCAGAGAGAGCTAAAAGAGGACTTTGATTTTTAACATCGGAAAGGAATTTGTTTGACCAGTCATAATAGAGTAAAAAAAGCATTACAGCACTGTATAAATATTATTTTGAAAGACGCATCTTGTCGGCTTGTGCTGTTTATGTCTAATAAATATTTAAAAATACTAACGCAACTTCATTACATGTTTTTAAATAAAGATTTTACATGTTATAGTCCGTATAAAGTTGACTAAGCAAAATATGAGTATGTACCAATCATAAAGATTGCAAAATGTATAATTGTTTAAAGAGTTGAATAGTTAACGCTTAATTTATAGTTGGTAGGAATAGAAAGTTAACAGCAGAGGATTTTATCAAATATAGTAAATTTTCCTTACTCACAATAACTTTTTATAACAAAAATACATTGATAAAGTGAATGTTGAAGTACTTGTTAATTAACGAAACTCTTAATAAATTTTTTAAAGCATGCTAGCACTTTATCTAATGATTCCTTTGAAAATTTTCCGTTGAATTGTATTTTTTTCAACTTAAGTAATACTGTAAAATTTAAAGTAATTATTAATTCTGAAATATTAAATGCGTTTCAAAATTAAAATGATTTTAGGTTTTAGTAAGTGATTGTTTCTTTGAAGTTTTGATATTAATAATCAGTATATTATAATGCATAGAAAAGAAAATAAAAAAAAGTGCTTTTTCATACTAACTTCTTACTTGTTTTTGTTTCATTTTAATCCTCTCGATTATCCTTTTGATTTAAGAGATTCCTCCCCTATCATAAATAAATAAAAGCTATCTAGTCGCTACATTTTATTTTTCAACTTAAATTTGTCAGCTATCCTGTCATTTTTGTCATCCTCGTGGCAGATCTTCAGTCAGTGTTCATAACTTCACATCTCAGGTGTATAGAGAACCACGCAGACAAGAATAAGTCAGGGGAGAACATCAGGGACCGTACAAAAATAAAATAAAATAAATAATCGATCGTTAGATAGGATTGGTAAGAATCTGCCTCTTAAAATTTGAAATAAAATTTTACGTATTAAAGTTAACAAAGTTCTATAAATTAAACACCACTTGAAAAAAAGTAAAATATTTTCGAGTAAATTTTAGTGCAAATTAAAACTTATTAACTTTATTTCTAATAATTATTGTTTAAAAATAGATAAACAAAAGCATTCAATACATTTAGCTCGTTATATGTAATTTACTAACTTATTATATCAATTATTATTTTCCTATTTTTAAAATTTTTCGTACATTGAACTTAAGAAAATTTTCTTTGAGATGTTTGAAAACGGTGAATATAATTCTTAAATTAAAAATGTTATATGTAAACAAAACAATAAAGCAAGTAACGGGAAAAAAGCAAAATTATACGCATGTAAATATCATGTATTTCTTATTGAACCAGAAAAATGAGAGGAAATTCAGATTCTTTTTTTTTTTTGTAATCATGCCAATTTTATTATTTTTAAGGGGGTTCACTCATGTGACGGCCTGTTTTTTAAGCATTTTTAGAGAATTTTTTTGACGACAATAAAAAGATAAAATTTGAAGTTTTTTTTTTATTTATATGTGTTTT